AAAAAAAAAAAAGGTCCCAAAATTATTAACCCTTCATTAACCCATCTAATAAGGAATTAATATCGGTCATATCCAGACCAGTGATGGGTATATATGATTCAGTTGGACCTGGACTGAATGACACATCTAAAATTAGCACCAGAGAATTTAAGTGGAGTGATTGTGTAATCAGGTAGTTGCTGGAGTGTTTGATAAACAGACAAAACAGTGAACAAAGGCCACCAGACATAGAGCATAACTTACCAGGGCTTGATGGTGTTTGACTCTACAGTCAAGACTGTGTGTTTGCATGAGGCCGCTGGTTGTATTGTCCAATTGCTAAACATTTGGGGTGTACAAATGTCACAGTGGCCCAACGTATGAACCAATATCGATATGTGAGGGCAAGCACAGTGTAAACGTTCTGGTCACCTAAGCTGAACCATTACAACGAGGATTGTCATTGGTTGCTCTGAGCATCTCAAAATCTTATGACCTCCGGGACTACATCTCATTGAATAGTATCAGTCAGACCACAGGTTCATCATCCCATGGGTTGACTGTCATTAACAGCAAAGCAAAATATGGCTGCATTTGAAGTGCTGCCACTAACTGGGAGAAATGTAATCATGACAGGTAGTATTGCATCATTGTACCAGCATTACTCGTAGGATCATGACTGACTTCAAGTCACCTTTGGTAGTTTCAGGCGACGATGATGGTGACAATGTGCATGTTTTATCCTTCCCAAGGCATCACTCTATAGCAGGGCTATTCAACTGGCGGCCCATAGGTGACTTCAATCCAACCCATCAATGACTTAATAAGATAAACTTTTTTTTTGTTCTGGGTTTGGGCTTTGGGTTCTGTTTATTGCATTTATGATCCAATGCAATAAAACAAACATTTTTAAAAGGTAACAGATCATTGTAATACTTGGTTTATTTACATAATGACTTTAATCGCTGGATGTCTGGCCCCTGAGCTGCTGGCTTTCAGAAACTGTGGCCCACTGAGCAGTTGTGTTGAATAGCCCTGCTCTATAGTCATCCAGAAAGTAATCTTCTATTAAGACAAGACCTGTTTACATATAGATGAGTGTATGATCTGTCAGAGTCATAGTCAGGTGCTTCCCTGTCCAGCCTGGCCTTCCAGTCTTCAATCAAACAAACTAAATTAGTTCAGACATCAGTTCTCATTCAGAGCTGATCTGTTGGCTCTTTGAGGACAGCTGTGCAATATTGTTCTGCACTAAACTGTTGCTTTTGCCCAGGCCTATGAAGGTCCACACCCTACTAATGCAGAACCAACAGTGCCCTCGCATTGATAACTGCATTGTCCGTTTAATCTGATTTTATAATCAGTGCAATGCACTGACATTACAACATGAGCAACTTCATTTCATGTCTACTCAGTCTGGTTGCAGAACTTTATTTTATTTTTTTATCAGTGTGTGCATGTTGCTGCACAAATCCAAACATCATAAGAAATATGTTCTTCCTGCACATTATAGCACTCAGTGAGACCCAGTGTGGTGTACTGGTCTCTGTGGACTGATTCTTCTCCCTGTGCTCTGCTTCAACCTACATCTGATGTAAAAGGGTTCATAGACCCCGACAAGTTTTCAATTGTAGCTCCAACTTGTTGTGTTTGCTGAATGATGCATTGATGTGAAAACAGTCTGCCACTAATAACACCTTGTTCCTCACACTCCTCTTTGTTGTGACTGTGCGCTGATTTAAAAACAATGATGTGTTTTGTTTTGTCTGTCTTTATTTTCCATGAAAGCGTTCTTCTGTTGTCAGTGAAGGGGCTTAATTCAAACCAACCACTTTGCTCTTTGTTAAAGAGGGGTAATGTATTTTGCTTCCTGATTGCTTGGCTTGCTGAGTGTGTCATTTTCCACCTTGATCGAATATACAGACCTTCGTGTATATTTGGGACAACTTAATCGCTCCCATTTCTTTAACATTTACATTTGCTATGCTTGCACATAAGCACATGAAGATACAGTAGGCTTGTTGTCACAGTTTTCGTTTTGTTCATGCAAATTGAATGTGACTCTACTCTTAAGTGTGTTTAAGAAAAAATGCAAAAGTTTGATTTTATTTTCCTTAAGGCACAAATATTTAAAGCTTCCTTCATATCTCATACAACAGGGGTATCAAGTTTCAAAAAGCCTTCTAGGTCTAGTGGTCATTATACATCGATGCTGTGTTCTGGTAATGATGTTCATGGCAGCAGGATGCCCAGTGCTTGTGAGTTTTCCCTTCTAAAGGATCATATTACATGAACCGCCTATATTTGCAGGGGCAGCACCATCTTATAGGGAAAAAACGCTTCCAGCTTTCTGATCAGAAGGTTTTCTGGAATTTGGTACCCACTTACTAATAAACTGTTTCACAGTGGTTTAGACATTAAAGTGTACTTAGATAAATAAGTTGACATTTTTCCATATGTGTATGGCTTACTATAATTCATCATTCTATTCATATTGGCCATTAAAAATTATTCCCAATGATTTACAAATATAAATGATGGGTGACAAAGTCTACAGTCCTCTAGGTCGTTAATCTTTCACTACATCTAAATTAGGAAACGCCAAACATGTTAAAATAAATAAACATAATTTATGTACTAATAGATTCAGAATATTTTTGATTGGAACAAGGACTGGAAACTTTGACTTTTATCATTTATATAATGGGCATGGTTGTTTGAATGGAATGTTTTATTTTTTCTTGCAGAAAAGTACATAATGAGCAGTAAACAAAACTGGTATTGTGTTTTAAAGAGCTCACAATGGTTGATTTTTTTAGACCTACTAGAAAATAATCTAACATTTAAATATTTTTAGGATTTAGATAACACTGTGAATTAATATATAGATATAAAAGTACAATTTTTGTGTTTCCAAAAGCAGTTTCTAATAAATTTTTGCCATATTTAAACATGTCGTTAAAGAGATAGTGTAGTTTAAAAAAAAAAAAGTAGATTCTGTGGAAAAGTTCAGAACAAATGCCTCTTTGCTGATCAATCCTGGAACTGCCTCAGTTTGTATAAAGAGTGTTTTACATCTCTGTCAGTGTAGAGAGGTCCATGGTGCTACACGCTGAAGATGGAGTCAGAGGCTGGTTACTATCAGCATGTTACAGTGGTGCTTGAAAGTTTGTGAACCCTTTAAATTTTCTACAAAGTATATTTCTGCATCAATATGACTTAAAACATCATCAGATTTTCACATAAAGAGAACCCAGTTAAACAAATGAGACAAAAATATACAGTAATACTTGGTCATTTATTTATGGAGGAAATGATCCAATATTACTTACAATGTTTGTGAGTGGCAAAACCTATGTTGACATTTTCACCACTTTATTGTCTGTCCAAACAGGTCTCACTCGTAAATGAGTTTTCGAGGCTCAATGTGATTTGTCTGTATAACTGTATAAATAAAGGTTGAATGAATGAATGAATGTAAACCTTTGTTTTCAGCATCTGGTGCCCCCCCCCCCCCCCCCAAGCATTAACTGCAACTAAACATTCCCCGTAACTGCAGATCAGTCCTGCTCACCAGCTTGGAGGAATTTTAGCTCATTTCTCTGTACAGAACAGCTTCAACTCTGGGGTGTTGGTGGTTTCCTCACATTAACTGCTGCTTCAAGTCCTTCCACAACATCTGGATTGGATTAAGGTCAGGACTTTGACTTGATCATTCCAAAACATGAAATGTATTCTTCTTGAACCATTCTGTGGTAGAACGACTTGTATTCTTAGAGTCATTGTCACTGCATGACCCACCTTCTCTTGAGGTTCACATCATGGACAGATGTTCTGACATTTTCCTTTAGAATTCTCTGATATAATGCAGAAATCATTGTTCCATCAATGATGGCAAGCCGTCCTGGCCTAGGCGCAGCAAAACAGGCCCAAACCATGATACTCCCACCACCATGTTTCACAGATAAGGTTCTTATACAGAAGTGTAGTGTTTTATTTTTTCTAAACATAACACTTTTCATTTAAACCAAACATTTCTATTTTGGTCTCATTCATCCACAAACCATTTTTCCAGCAGTCTTCTGGCTTGTCCATGTGATCTTGAGCAAACTGCAGATGAGCAGCAATCTTCTTTTTGGAGAGCAATGGCTTCCTCCATGCAACCCTGCCGTGCACACCATTGTTGTTCAGTGTTCTCCCGATGGTGACTCGAGAACATTAACATTAGCCAAAGTGAGAGAGGCCTTCAATTGCTTAGAGGTTACCCTGGGGTTTTTTGTGAACTCGCTATTCCATGCCTTGCTCTTGGAGTGATCTTTGTTGGTCCACCACTCCTGGGGAGGGTAACAATGGTCTTGAATTTCCTCCATTTGTACAAAATCTGTCTGACTGTGCACTGGTGGAGTCCAAACTCTAGAGATGGTTTTGTCACATTTTCCAGCCTGATGAGCATCAATAAGTCTTTTTCTGAGTTGCTCAGAAATCTAATTTGTTCCTGCCATGATACACTTCCACAAACATGTTGTGAAGAGCAGACTTTGATAGATCCCTGTTTTTTTTTAAATAAAACAAGTTGACCACTCACACCTGATCATCATCCCATTGATTGAAAACACCTGACTCTAATTTCACCTTCAAATTAACTGCTAATCTTAGAAGTTCACATACCTTTACCACTTACACATATGTAATACTGGATAATCCATCCATCCATTTTCTTTACCCGCTTATTCCATTTTGGGTCACGGGGGTCGCTGGTGCCCATGTCCAGCAATCACTGTGCGAGGGGCGGGGTACACCCTGGACGGGTCGCAAGTCCATCACAGGGACACATAGAGACAAATTAGACAAACAACCATTCACACTTTCACTCACACCTAGGGACAATTTAGAGTTACCAATCAGCCTAACACGCATGTTGTTGGTCTGTGGGAGGAAACCGGAGTACCTGGAGAAAACTCACGCATGCACGGAGAGAACATGCAAACTCCACCTAGCAAGGCCCCTGGACCAGGATTTGAACCTGGGACCTGCTCGCTGAGAGGCAGCAGCTCTACCAGTTGCGCCACCGTGCTGCCCTGAGTAATAACCTTTTTTTTTTTTTAACATCCCATTTCTTTCCTTTTTCATTTGATTGATTTTTGTATCAAGTTGTGCTTCCATTTTTTTTTTTTTTTGACATGTTTTGCATGAAACATTACTGTTAATGGACTGCAGATGACTCAGTCTTGAGTGTATGTTTCCATAGCAACTTATGTTTCTAATTCAGGAAGTAAATTGTGAAAGATTTATAAAATATGTTTGCATTGAATCACTGTGAATCTTTTGAGACTGAAGTTGTTTTAATATGAAAAAGATCTACTTTAGTCTTAGTCCTGCTTTGACTGGCTATTAGCTTTTCAATCTGATCAAAGCAGGTAAGATATTGATTGCTTGTAACTTTTCCACAGAACTTCAATTCCAATACATTTACACATTCCTTTAAAAATGTTTGTTCACGGCACATTTTACCTTCTAAGGCTCTAATTTCATACAACCTAAATATAAAACATCATTTCCATGTAGTAAATAAACACGTTTCAGTGGAAACCATGATGTTTTACTCATCCTAAATTATCATAGCTTAGTTTTGCTTCTTAATGTCTGAGCAAACCATGAACAGTTTAATCTTGGTCATTAAATGCTTAAATCCTTCAAGTACAAAGAAGAAGCAAGTAAATCCTCAAAACAATATTTCATATTCAAAATAAATCATTGCTGGCTGAGATGGGGCTTGGACTCGGCTGTTATGTTAGACAGTCGTATATTTGTGCATCTCAGCCGTCCAGTTACTCTTAAAAATATGATGCAATATGATTACTTAGTATTATATAAGAAAATGTGCTGATGACAATGATAGTGCAGACGTGTTACTGAAGTTGGCTTTTTGCTGTGAAACTGACTTGGAAACCAGAATTTGTTTTATGTTTTGTTTATAATAAGCTCATTTACTGAAAGCATCATACAAGTATAACATTTTATCAAACCAACTTGCAGCTGGATTGTTAAAAAAAATCATAGGGTCATTTTATTTTTCATATGTGATCATTAGAATGTGTTTGTCACCTATGTCATTGTTCTGTGAACACAGAAAAAAAACACACTTCCTGTTCTCACCTCTTTCCATAAAACTTATAAAGTAAGAAACAATTAATCCCATAATAAGCCTGCCAATAGACATTTAGGATAAGTACAGTATATGAAGTACACCATATTATTATCCAGTTAGAATTAAAAAATACATAAACAAAAATGGTATAAACTGACATGTTTACATCTTTAATGCACTCAACTTTCAGTAGACTGCTGATCTAGACTCTCCTGCCCTCTCTATAATAAACGACAGCAGAGTTTGTGTCAGCAGGGTAGAACAAGCTCAGCAAGCTCAAACCTGTGATAAGGTCTCCCCGTGTTTTGCGGCACAAAACGATTCAGTGAATAAATGCATGCTGAATAAAACACGTCCCTATCCACTGTCTGTGCTCCGCAGCTTCTGATGACCCCACAGCGATCTACTCTGAGATCATGATGTATGTGCTGCTGGTGTTCTTGACCTTCTGGCTGCTGGTAGAAATGGTCTACTGCTACAGAAAGATCTCGAAGTCTGATGAACAGACACTGGACACGGCGTGAGTCTCACACGGATGTGCACACGTACAGACTCGCTTGAGCAGACAACAGATCGAACACTCTGTGTCCTGTTCAGATTTACTGCAAAGTCAATTTCTCCTAAAAACACAAGTAGCAAAGGCTTCATATTCAATGAATAAGACACTCCATCTTCAAAGTTTTACCAGTGGTTCTGGAATTATCTTTATTATTTAAGTCTCTTTTAAAAAATCTCAGAAATGGCCACGAGGTTTTATATGTGGCACACAGTTAATAGGACAGACAGAAAAGCGCAGACAGACACAGGAGTAATTGAGTCTTCGCTGCACTAGTTTTAAACCTCCTGCAACTTTAATGTGTTCCTTTACTGGAGCAGCCAGACAGACCTGAATAATTTGAAGCTCTGCTGACTGCCTGGATTTTTTTTTATACCAACCTTTTTACATGTGAGCTGGATTTTCAGCTCCATCGGAAAATGACTTTTGTGTCACCCTGTCTGTGTCGTAAAAGACTTGAATGCACCTGTGCAGTCAGCTCCTATTGGATTTTGCCCATGTTGACTTAACCAGCTGATGCATGTTGACAGCTTTTATACAGGAAGCTAGAATAATAATGAGAAAAGCACCAGATAATACAAGGAGGTTGCGCTGAATTTCTCTCGGTATTTGTAAAAAAAAAAAAAAAAGAATGCAAATTCAAAATCTGGCTTAGTCAGTGACACGTAAAAGCCGACTAGTGCAGAATATACTTTTCATACTCTTCTTGTTGTTCGAACAGTTAATAGGCACAAGAAGGACAGAGTTCTGTCAAATTCAACACAATTCTGTTTGCTGTTGCTCCTGATAAAACAAAGACTTTACAGATCTTTCATTTCCCTTTTTTTATTTAATAGTTTGATGTCATTGGAGCACTGGAGAGGCTTCCATTAACATTGTTGTATACCAGTGTTGTAGTCAAGACCTCCTAACCTGAGACCAAGTCAAGACCTAGACCAGAGTGTACCGAGACCAAGACTTTTGGGGTCCGAGACCAAATCAAGACCAAGACCTCAAGTCTTGGAACTCAATCTTTTTCACAGAGTATCTGTTTTATACTATGCTGCCACAACATATTGACAGTTTTAACAAATATGTAAAAAACATGCGTAACATTTATAAAAAAAAGTTTTTAAGTTGCTGCAACTTTGTTTGCTTTTGAATGAATGTATCAGCTTTTATAAATGTTCAAAGCTATATAACAAAGAAATCAGACATTCAGTGGTTGTTGCACAATAATTTTCATGTCATGTGACCCACTGACACAAAACTTATGTTAGACTGCTCTACTAGACCTGACAGATGAGGCACCCACATTTATTTCTCATTTTAAAGCATTTTCCATTTTTACATTATTTATTTGTTCAAAAATCATTGTTTTTGCTCAATAACTAATTAAAAAATGCTTTAAAATGATAAATAAATGATGGTGTCATGTGTGTCAGGTCTGTTGGAGTAGCTCAACATTAGTTTTGTGTTAGTGGATCAACTGATGTAAAAGATTTTTTTTTTTTGTTTCTGAAGAGTGTTTGGTTCGGTAATTTGTGGACGGTCTCTAAGAGAACCATTACGTCTCGGAGGAGGGACAGACCGAACGCAGCTGACTGAAATCAAACTGTCTGCTTCGGATTGAATGAGAAGAACACACCGCTGAGCTCGAATGTCCAACGTCCAACGTAAAACTAACTTCACCTCAGTACAGAATTGAGGCTCCAGCAAAGCACAAACAGTTTAGAAACAATTTGAAATGAGGAGAAAAAAGCTATTTATTAAATGATTAAGTCGTGTTTTAGACTGCTTATTGCTAGCAAATCTATTCTGACTCAAAGCGCAGTCGTGACTGGTTCTGAATGAGGATTTACAACAGACAGCCCCTCTCTCTTCCAGGTACTACATACTGGCGCATAATCTTCTGGTGGTACGCAGTACCAGACCGTACCAGCTTACTTTCACCCCTGGTTGTGATGCTACATTCAGTTGTCTCTATGGTTCTGCTGGTACAGAACCGTGTGCGAGTGAAAGGGGGTGGGAGTGACAGCGGTAACAAAAACACGTATTTAGCAATGAGTCACGTTATCGGTTGGATTTGAATCAGAACGTTTTGCATCAAATAAAAACAAGGATGTTGACAAATAAACTGGACAATATTCTGGCAATTTAGTGATAGTTCCCCAGTTGTGGTCTTGACTTGTCTTGAAATAAAATCCCGAGTCCTCAACGCCCAAGACCGAGACAAGACCAAGACCATCAAAAAGTGGTCTTGGTTTTGAGATCTCGAGTACTACTACACTATTGCATACTGACAACTATCTGCAAATGATAACAAATATACAAATAAATCATGATCTTTACACTTATTAGAAAATTAAAGTTTCTCTAGGAAAGTTGAAGACCCAGTAAAACCAAAAACTGACCACACTATATCATAATATTCTACACAGCTACTGCAAAACTTTGTCCAAACGATGTTAGTAGATTACCTGCTCGGCATAAAATAAATTAGATGCTTTTGAAGATTACGTTTAGTGTGATCAGCTGGATCAAAACAGTTTGATTGATTTTGGTTTGATTCCTTTGCCCTTTTGAATTAAAAGCTATGTTACTATTTTGAAGGTTCAAATAGAATGAATTGAACAAAAATAAAAACGCTTTGGAGGAAACCTTTCAAAAACATAAAACATTCATGGACGGTTGATGCCTTGTAGGAGTTCTGCAATTGACAGAGTTAATAGGATGGTGCTGATTGTTTTACATCTACAGTGATAAGTCAATCTTGTTCAAAGAAACTACTTTTCAGTTTGATTCTTAGCCAGTCATGCTCAAAGATAAAGTTCAAGTTCAAGAATCTTTATTATCCCCAAGGGGCATTTTGTTTCACAGTGAGCAGGCACATAAAACATCCATATTAGACATGGAGACATTAAAATAACAATACATGCAATCATCACTGTTCAATGAGAAGCCTGATCACTGCAGGGATTAATTCAATCTGTTCATCCTACATCTGGGCAGCAGATACCTGTGTCCAGATGGATGGAACCTGAACTCACCATGGAGTGGATGATCAGGATCTGCCAGAATCATCCTGGCCTTGTTCACTGACCTCACTTTGTGTAGGTCAGTGAGGTTCTGCTTAGATTTTGCGTGAAGTGGTGTTCTGTGGAGTTATCAGTAATCAATATATGACCTGCAGTAGATTTTATTCAGAGCATTATTAGTTTTAAATACCAGGTAAACGTTTTCACGAGGGAGAGGAGTTAATGGCTAGTGCAAATAAACTTTGTTCCAAAGCAGTTTTTTTTACCATCTTAAAACTATTTTAACCTCAGTAATTTCAAAGCAATCTAAACAAACACTATTTGATAAACCTTTACACTGCCACCATTTGCTGGCATCGATTATCATTAATCCAGTACATAATAAATATATATTTTTAATAAATAAATAAAAACTTTAAACAGAGATCTCAACTTTCAACAACTTACAATGCAGCATTATGCCTGATTCCCAGTCAGTTCCACTCTAATAGTGCTCTCCATTCATGATGTCATGCACACTATTTACAAATATAATCTGCTGCCCTCTCACGAGTATATCACGAGTAACCTGGATGTTCGTACAATACATGGCTTCAGTGCAGAGATTTGTGTTATTTTAAAGAAAAACAGTGTTCCTGCTGCAAAGTTGGACACATTTAATTTCAGGAAATACACAAATATTCAGCTGAAACCTTGGCTCAAGTGCCAAGGTCTTGCAAGGACTGGAAAGTGGGCGGAATTGTTGAAAAGGTTGATATGTTTGTACTGGTGTCTTCTCAGTTGAGTGTGTGTGTAATTATTTTGGAGGAAAATCCAAAGAAACTGAGATAGTGATATATCCCTTGGGCAGCATGTAAACCTAACACAAATGTGCATGAGGCTGCAAATGGATGCTATGGAAGTAAAACTACTAGTACAGTGAAAACATAAGGTTTACTGTAACCTGTTTAGAGATGACAAGTGCAGGAGTAGGACCAGGGAGGCCCTGTGTTGGTTCTTTACCTTCAACAAAATGTTTGGACCATCCGTACGTTCATAGTTTCACTCTTCCTTGGCAATATCCGGCTCGTCCCTTTGCTCAGATGCAGTGATCACACTTCTTTGGCTGCGTCTTCAACCTGGGAAAAGTGATAAAAATACTGCTTCCATGTGAGGATGATGGCTGTATCGTGAGTTTACAGGTACTGTAGGCACATGTTGTGGTCCTCTCGATAACATTTGATGCCATTTTTCCAAAATTGTTTAAATTCACTTAATGGAAGATTGTGCACTGTGACTGATACGTCTACAGGCCGTTACGAGTGTTTGTACGATGTTGCACAATTGTTAAGGGTTGCACTTGGGTCCAAAAAATCCAACCCGACCCCAGCCTGCAGCCATCATCTCCGAACCCCACCCGATCTGACAAATAAACAGCAATTACAGGTCTGAACTCAAACCCCCACCCCCCACACACACACAACCGACATTCTTAATTATACTTTGATTGCTTATTCCACCAACTTACTAAAGGTTGGCGGACGTGCGCGGCTGAGTAAAGTGGGCAGAAGATTGGAGCTGAGGAGCTCTCAAAGCGCACTAAATGCTTCCCCTGCTTCTGCCTGCATTGGACCCTGCTCTGACATGTCGGATATTTTGTGATCTCACCTGTTTTGGGTCTCGGTTGCGTGCATCCGCTGAGTGCAGTGGTTGAATGAACGTCCATTTGTGCTGATGGATTGCTGGCAGTAGTCCATCTGAAGCTTAACTGAACTTTTTACCTCTTTCAACTGGTCGGTCAGCGCGGTCAAATGGCCACGTGCAGCTGGTGACAGTATGGCAAGCCATGTTGGCATATACTTTGTAATTGTATTGTCGGCCGCACACGTCCCTGACGCAATAAAAAGCCCGACACCAACCTGGCCCGCACATTATTATGGCCTGGCCCGGTCCGAATCCGGGTCGGGCGGGGTCAGGCTCCTGGCTCTGGGTTCGGGTTAGAAATGACAGCTCTAACAATTATAGTCATGTGACTTACTTTCTATAAATAGCATGAGTGGAGAGCGCTATTCAAACCTTCATGCATTTTACCTAAACACGTCTCTTGTGATCCAGGCAAAGTAAGATCCTCCAAGGACTCTTTTTTGTGAGGGGCGTGTAGTTTTAGCCTAATCTGCATATGATCCAGGTACAGTACATAATGAAGCCTCTCCTGTTGATTTAAAAAGCTTGGAACTCCACAGACATTGTTTAAATTGATAAAGCCTCCTGGATGTGTGGCAACATGTCTTCAGCTGCAGAATGGAAGTACAGTTCTTTTTGTTTAAAACTTGTTTTGGATCTGTCATCATTTGTGCATTGGATGATTATTTACAAAAGCATCTCTGGTTGTTTACAATAAAAGCTGACCTGTTTGTGTTCCCTTACCACCAGTGGTTCATGCAACCATTATGTTGCAGAGCAAATTGTCTTTTTTACTAAATCTGGCAGAGGAAATATCTGACACAATCACAGCAACTAGGGATGTTGTAGCACTTTGAACCATTTTTTTGTGTTTTTTTTGTCTTTTTTAAACAAATCAGAACTGTAGTATAAATGGTAAATGGACTGTACTTATATAGCGCCTTTCTATCTAATCAAGACACTCAAGGCGCTTTACAACACAATCTGTGTCCTCACTTACCTCCACACACACATTCATACAGCTCTTTGCTCCATCTCTACAGAGCTAATCTGAACAAATCATTCTATAGAGACTAATCAGTGCTTTTAGATCACATCAGAGGCAATGAGGGGTTCAGTGTCTTGCTCAGGGACACGTCAACATGTGACTGCTGGTGGAACTGAACCGCCAACTCTCCCATTGGAGGGCGACATTTCTAACCACTCCGCCACAGCTTCCCCCTATAAATATAAAATAAATAACCTCAAACTTCAATGTAAATAAACACCTAATTCAATAGTGATTGTGGTCTAAATGTTTAAAAATAGCATATACGTTACTCTCTACAAAAAATGAAGAGTGAAGATGTTTTAAGACTACAGCGGTCTACTTTAAAACCAGTCCTGATCATTCTAGCTGTTAGCAGTTAGCTCATAAAGTTAATTTATTTGACTTTTTTAGGTTTGCTGACTGAGTTCCAAAACTTACGTTATTAATATAAATCTTGCTTAGTCTTCAGATACACCTTGCAGATGTATGGAACTGAAAGCACGTTGAGTGATGCGGTTTTAAAAGGCTGAAAGTTTGCTGATAAATACTGCACGAGTGTGTCGAGTCATTTTAATGCACAGTTTCTAAAAACTGCTCACAGCCCTCTTTAGTCATATTTTTAAGTAGAAGATCTCCACGATAAATATGTGAGATTTAAAGACAAACATAGTAAAAGCCTCACTGTTCCAAACTGAAGAAGACACGATAATCTGTGGTATGTTTTTTAGGACAGAGGGGGGATATCGTTTGTAGACACTCCTTTTGTTTTTCTACCAATCTGCTTGCAGGACAAACTACCTAGCTGTTCCCTCTGACCAGAAAGACAACCCAGCTGCTCTGGTTACGGAATAAAAGCTCTTTACACTGACACGGTATTTTCCATGTGACGCTCTCCGCCTGACTCCCATCAGGGAAACCGCCCCCACTTTTTTCAACCCATCGTTTGTAACCTTATTACTCATAGCCGTTGAGCTTTGTAGTAAAAACTCTCGTTGCTTCATCCACCACTCTGTCTCATTTTGCTCACTTCTTTTAAAAGAGCTTATATTTCTGTCTTTTTAGAACCACAAATCCTCTGTTTGTTCCCACTCCTCTTTAACTGTCTCACACAACATTCTTCATTAGAAAACATTTAGCACACTTTATTGCTGTTGTAATAACTTTCACATCTAATAAAGAGGTAAAAATGTTTGTTTTTGATCATATTGATTTTATTTGTAGGCATTGTGGCATGGATCTGTATAGTATTAGTGTATGGGGTAGAAAAATGTCAATGTAGCAATCTAAAATTGTATTTCTCCAAAATGTGACACTACTTTGAGGATACATACTTTTAATGATGAAGAATGAATAATTTTCTCTTCTTTCTTTAGGTATTGATCAAGTGTGATGGCACATGGGTTCTGAAACCACAGGCTATGACACTATGAAGGCATAATTTCTCTCAAAGCCACGTGGATCCTGCCAACCGACCTCTCCTTTTTATCAACTGTCTTGTGAAAAGCCAGTGAAAAAATTCCCAAGTGCTATTTTTTCCTTCTTTATCCTCGTTTTATTTAAAAAAAAAACATTGTGCTGGGAGTCTCAAGTTACAATAAGTGAATTTATAAATATGAAAGCCTAAGTTGGCAAGTCATTTTTTTTAAGTAACTTTCTATCGAATAATTATGAATAACTGATATCTTACCTGTTGCAGATAGCTCTTTGAATGTCCATAAGCTGGATAAATAGTTTTATTCTGACACACCAACAAGTTTAAAGTTAGTTTAAGTTGGACCAAGTCCAAAGAGGATTCCCTGCCATCTTAAAGAAAACTCAAATCCTATATTTTATATAATTCTTCATGCCTATATTAGTTAATAAACCTTTTCACTGGTGACATGTTTGCATTATATGTTTTTTTTTTTTTTTCTGGTAGAGAAATTGTCAAATCCAGGCTGCATCAGAGTTGCTACAGCTAGCTACTGCTGTTAGTGTTGCATTGCAAGTCAAGTAATGAAAAACTAATGACAACATGAAGGTTTTTGAAATCGCTTTCACATGAGCCGCTAAGAAACTTTTGGCACTGGAGTTGTTTTAAGATGACAGCATTCACTTTAGTCTTGGTTTTGTTCTGACCAGCTGTTAGCTCATCAGTCTGGTCAGAAACCAGCTCTGCTGTGCCAAACTTTGATCTAACTTTAGCAGGTAAGATATTAATTACTCATAACCATTCCACATAATCTCACTTCAAACCATTCGATCTATCCCTTTAAAGAGCAAAAACATAAGTATTCTGCACTTTTAAATAACAGCCATAATATAGTTGGACCTGACATTGTGTGGACATATTTCCTAATAATTAGTTGCGCGTCTGTGAGTTCTGTAACCTATATAAACATAAACTATTTGACCTGAGGAGACAATCTGTCCTTTTGTTGTTAAATTTCTTATATTATATACTGACTCTTTAGTACTTATATTGTTTATTTTATAACTTTTTTATAAAATGTGGTGTGTTTTGAGGTCACAGTTTTATTTGAATTGACCAGTACTCTTTTTAAAGTAAACAGAATGTTTTTCTACTCTATGTATGAGTGTGCATTTATTCCTGCTTTTCTATATGCATCGTCACTTGGACATAAAATTATACTATTCTATGTAATTATTATTATTTTTTTTTACTTCATCTGGAGGTCTTTCCTTTAGTTACCTCTGTATAAATCTTTAATCCATGTCCAGCTCTGATGTCAACATCCATTCAGTGGTCAAGTGTTGCTGCACTTTGCTACGCTGAAATTTATTCTTAAAGCTTTGACGGTTGCTGATATTCTGCAGCACTGAGATTCAGCATGTGCCTCTTTCTATTGTGCAATACTGTAGAAATATTTTCAGCTTGACTAAACCATGCCACGCCTTTTCTCGGTCTGTTCCAAATAAATTTTGTGTGAGTGGACTATTTTTGAGCTAATAAATGCAATGCACCCCATGGTCTAAATTGATGCTCCATTGTTTTTTGTTTTCTGTCTTACTTTTGTGTCATTGCTCAGATGCCAATAAACTGAAGGTGCACCCCAAAATGGAGCCCCAGTATTAAAGTTTTACCAACATGTGAAATAAATACAGTATTGACACTCAGCATCTTCTTATGTTCTCTCTATTATTTGCAATTGTAGTGTTGTTCGAAAGAATAGAGGCATTTCAACCATAAGCACCCCTGGTGTTTCCAGCTCTCATTAACGCTGCAGAAAAAGCAGCGAACAAAGCAACTTTCGATTTGTTTCTGCTTGAAGTAAGCCCTCCACATTGTAATTGTCAGTCTTCACGGAGCTTAACGTTGCACTGTATTGGAAGGAGTCATTTATTTATTTATTTACCAAGATCCGCCGCTTTTGTCATGCAACGCTGCAGAAAACAAAGGCAGCAAAACGGTAAAGCACAGTGAAATTAAAGGGAAGGAACCTGGCAGAGAAAGAGGGATGTTGCTCTTTCAGTTAGCCATGACCAACAGATGTGACAGATATAGCAGCAGCTGTTGTTATAGCAACCCAGACATGTCTGTACCAAGGCAAATAACATCAAATCAGAGTTAGGGCAAATTTACTTAGGTTGGTATTTATACAAAATGCAAAGATGACATGGGGAAATGAGTAAGTTTAGCTCCAAGAGGAAGTTTCAAAGATCGAAGAGCACAAACCACACGTAAAATCAGGTGCGCTGCTCAAATACCATAGTGGTGTTTTCTTTTACCGTCAATCAAGTTCAGCTAAATTGGTTATTGACTGCCCAACACATCCCATGAACCGTCCAACAATATAGTGATATGGCTTTTAGATACGCCGTGAAAGTTATTACCTTTCTTCTCCTTTTTGCTCCCTCTCTTCCTGCTTCACTGTGTCTCAACACTTTTTACATGCTTTCTACAACGTGCCTCCCTCAGGATACAACCCAGTAACGTGGCCCACATTTGGCTAAATTATATCTTAGGTAAAGGCTTCAACTGCCTCAGTGGTAGGCATTTTAAGACATGTAAAGCAAAGAGGGCAACAAGAAAAAGATTTAAATTTGGAGGTTTTTTTTTATGCATATAAATAGGATTTCAATCGGTAACAAAAACTCACCAGTGACAGAAAGGAACTTGGTCACATTTGAATTGATAAGGCTGGTTGTACATACTGCAGTCCTCATTTTTAATGCATTGGCTCATAGTTTTGTCCAAAGAAAGACAAAAGTTGTTGGAGGTATTTTCTTTCTGATGTGGTAAAATTCTACCTGATCTCATTATTCATGCTGTGGTCAACAATGATTTTATATTCATGAAGGGTCTTTGTCTCCCCCTAGTGTAAAGTTTACCATGTCATCAAATGATGTGCGATCAGTCAAGTTCCTGACAACATCAAGCTTTCTGTTGAGCAGCACACACATGAGATCAGACCAAATGAACATGCTATTTAACCTGGGAGATGAAAGGGAAACGTCTGATGGGCAAAATGGTAACAGTTGGTCTTTAAAAATAATATTAATTCCCACATTGATAGGCTTCGTGAATCCATCCGTTTTAGAAGGGAGTTTTGATCAGTGCTGCCTGGCTGCAGCTCAAAGATGACACAGCATGCAGCTCAATACCAGACGTCGCAGACACAAACGAACACAGCTTATCGACTGCAGATCAATAGTCGCTTTGCCATATCTGTTAAGCTATAAATTGTTTTGATAAATGGAAACGTAAGTGAATGATTCCTGTGCTTTGCTTTTCTGCTGCAATAACCAGCACTCCTGTTTCTCGTCTGTCCTGCCAAAGGTCTATGGTGTTGTACACTTTGAGAAGGATTTACAAAGCTTTGCACCACATCAGGCTGAAAGGAGAGAGAGGAAAAAAAAGGTGTTTCCACATATTTCTTGTGCCCAGCATTTTTTTTTTCCTTTTCACGACTGAATACACACAAATGCATGTATTTAAAATGGGAGCGCAGACGTTGAATAATTTCTTCCAAGAAAGCTTTTTCCTCAGACAACCAAGGACACCCACTCATAACTATAAATCTTCACACATTTGATGCAGTGTGTTTCTGGATAGGGCAGGGTTGTTTCTCTACAAAAAACAAACAAACAAACACACAAAAAACTATTTAAAATCAAGTTTAGACTTGATTATACACTTTGATCTGATGGAAGATGTTTTTATATTGTTAAATGTCTCATTATTTTATCAACATAAAGAAGAAAATTAAAACTTTACAAACACAATCAGACAGTTTATTTTGTGTTTAGGCAGTGTTGGTAATAAATTTGCAATAATTTGACACACCTTAAAAAATGTGTAAAGGAAAAAACGGCTTAAATAAAAGGTAAGCTAATTTAGAGCAGGAACAAATCGTTGCAGAGAGCTGTCTCATGCAGATAAAGATCTCTGCAGACAAAAATATTCAACATGCATTTACCATAACAAAAGGGTTTTTGCATCCCAAACAAAATCAAAATATACATTACTTATCACTTCTTCTTTATTCATCTTTTCCCTTTTCAGGGGTCACCACAGCGAGTCATCCTCCTCCACCAATCTGTCCTCTGCATCCTCTGTCCTCACTCCAACTACCTCCATGTCCTCTCTAACGGCATCCATACATCTCCTCTTTGTCTTTTTCCTGGCCACTGCATTTCTAACATTCTTCTACCAGTATACCCACTGTCCCTCCTCTGGACATGTCCAAACCATCTCAGTCTGGTCTCTCTAACTTTATCTCCCAGTTGTTCAACCTGTGCTGTACCTCTGATGATCTCATTCCTAATCTTATCCAGCCTTGTCACTCCTAGGAGAACCTCAACATCTTCATTTCTGCCACTTCCAGTTCTTTCCCTTGTCTTTTTGTCAATGCCACTGTCTCCAGACCATACAACATAGCTGGTCTCACCACTGTCATGTAAACTTTTCCTTTT